GGAGCGAGAAGCCCCCGAGTCAAGGGTGAAGGTGTGGGAGGCCGAAGCCGACGCAGTACCTGAGAGAGCAGACTCACCAGCACCTGAGGAAGCAGACGCACTAGCACCTAGAGCAGCAGCCTCGCTAGCACCTAGAGCAGCAGCCTCACCAGTACCTAGAGCAGCAGTCTCAATGCCCGGGTCGGGCGGAAAACACCGGTAACAGTCACCCTCATCACTAATAGTCACAGCATACATGGCAGCAAGAATAGCATCAAAGTCAAGGTCAAAAATAGCTACTCCCGCCCTAGACAGCTCGCCCCAGCGAGGGATCTCAGTGGCCTCAGGGAACTGGTGACGCCAAGCGTCCGTCAGGCGGCCAAAGCAGCGCTGGGTGGAGTGCGCACCCCCGCACGGCTCACCCGCGCGGTCGCCGGTGCGTAGGACGTAGGTGCACGGACCAGTACCCCAACCCCGCTGGCGTGCAGCGTACCACTCACGGAGCTGCTGAGGGGGGGGGAAGTCCCGAGTGCGCTGCTGCTGCTGCTGCTGCTGGCGCTGACCACCACCGGAGCCAACCCTCTGCGCAGTGCCACCCCGACCAGCTCCACCTCCCCCGCCGCCGCCTCCTCCACCGCCGCCACCTCCGCCACCTCCGCTCCCACCGCCACCGCCGCCTCCGCCTCCGCCTCCACTGCCGCCACCGACACCTCCACCCCCGCCACCACCCCCACCGCCACCCCCACCCCCTCCGCCGCCTCCACCGCTGCCTCCACCGCCCCCGCTAGCTCCTCCAGCGCCCCTGCCCCCCTTGCCCTTGCCAGGGCGGCGCTTCCCGCTAGGGGTAGACGCCGCACCGACCGACTCAAGACCAACGAGGTCGGCCGCAGCAGCAGAGGCAACAGAGGGCAAGAGAGGAGAGGGGGAGCACCCCTCAAAGACAGGGGCGCGCGGGTCACCACGAGAGGCTCCTACAGCGACTATGCTCTTCTCTGCTGCTAGGAGGCGCTCCTCGAGGAGGTCAACGGTGAGGGTGGTGGGGCAAACAGAGAGAAAGTGGTCCCTGACCGGGCGAAGGGTGTCAGGGAGGCGGGTGACTATGTAGTAGAGGGTGATGTACATAGGGGGGGGGTTCTTGGCGGGAAGGGCAGCGCGGTAGCGAATGTCACTAGTGCGGAGGTGCGTAATGAGGTCAGCAACTGTGGGAAAAGCTGCGAGGTCAGGGAAGAGGTACGGCAGGATGAGGCGGCTAAGTGCAGCAGTGGCAGGGGAAGAGTAGCGTGCAACTACAGCGTCGTACAAGGTCTTAGCACTCTTGTACTGGCTAAAGTGCGCACGCTCAGAGGCAGGCAAGTGGCGACGCACAGCAAGACGTACAGCAGCATCGCGTGTGGCCCACTGTGAGCAAACAGTGGCGTCAGCATCAGCAGCGGGGGCAGGAGAGGCACCAGAAGTGAGGTCAAAGAGGGAGAGACCGTCTGCCCTATCGCACTGTAGGAAAAGCTGCAGGTCATCTACCCAGACGTCAAAGTCAATGGCCCGACCCTCAGCGTCAAAAGCGAGGACACTGGGGGTAGCCATGACAGCAGTAGACTGGCAGCACGAGCAGTAGGGTAAGAGCAGCGCAGTAGTAGAGGTGCTGTTCTTACCGGGCAGGCGAGACGGACCGAGGGTAGAGGACAGGGCGGCTCGGACGGCTCGGCAGCTCGTCGGCTCGGCAGCACCAGCAGCTCGGCAGCTCAGCGACTCGGCGGCTCGGGTGGCTCGGCGGCTCGGGCGGTTCGGCGGCTCGGGCGGATCGGCTGCTGCAGGGGCAGCGGCGGCTGCTGCTCACAGGACGGCGGCGGCCGCTGCTGCAGCGGCGGCGGCAGTTGCTGCTGCAGGGGCGGCGGCGGCCGCTCCTGCAGGGACGGCGGCGGCCGCGGTTGCAGTGGCGGCGGTTGCTGCTGCTGGGGCGGCGGATGCTGCTGCTGCTGGGACGGCGACCGCGGCCGCTGTAGCGACTGCAGCTGCTGCTGCTGTAGAGGCGGCGACGGCGGGCCGAGAGAGGCCGCGAAGGGCGGCGGACGGGCCATGAAGGGCAGCACGAGGGGCCGCGGAGGGCGGCGACCGGCCGTGAAGGGGGGGGGGCGCGAGTGGCCGCGGAGGGCGGCGACGGGCCGTGAAGGGCGGCGCGAGGGGCCGCGGAGGGCGGCGACCGGCCGTGAAGGGGCCGCGGGTGGCCGCGGAGGGCGGCGACGGGCCGTGAAGGGCGGCTCGAGGGGCCGCGAAGGGCGGCGACGGGCCGTAGGGGGCCGTAAGGGCGGCGCGAGGGGCCGGAAGGGCGGCAGGAAGGGCCGTCAGAGGAGCCGCTAAGGGCGACGCGAAGGGGCCGTAAGGGGCCTAGAGAGGGCGCGACGGTAGGGAGGGCACACGGGGCGCGACTCGGGCAGGAGCGAAGCGCGCTCCGGGCAGGAAAAAAAAAAAATCGATTGGTGGGCCCTAGGAAGCGTTCCCACGAGGGAACCCGCTCTATACCATGTGAAATGTCGAGGAAATGAGATTGACTAAGGGAAAGGTGGGTACAAGTGCAAACCCTAGAAAACTGTACCCCATATGTGCTACCCCACTACAGCCTACAGCAGCTATGTCATATAAATCTGACAGTGCATGCACGACAAGTTATTGTATTGTGGTTGTGCTGCGCAACGCATCCAACTTGTTTAGCGTCATATCTGTCAACCCCTTATGTCTCGCAGTGCTTCACCGAGTACATGGACGCCTTCGACATGGACCGTTTCGGGCACAACAAAACCGCCATTGTCCTTGTGGCGAGCGCCGCTCACGTGTCGTTAGACCCGGCCTGTGACGAGAGCACAATGTTCGGGTTTCGTGTGCAGCAGCTCACATCCACCAAGATTGTTCATCTCGCGGGTGCCGTTTCCACATACAACCTTCCGTGGTTCAACGGGGTGGTCGAGATGTTCAAGACGATTTTCCGGTCCCGCTACCTCGGCTTCATCATAAAGGACTCGGCATGGCTGTCTCGGGGTGCAATGCCCATAATAGCCTACGAGAATGTACTGCTATGGGTAGGGTCTGCCAGCGACTGCACTCCATCCAGGGCTGTCCATCTCTCATGGGCAAGGTCTGGGATGTTGCCTATGGCGTGGAGGCCGCTACTGCATCTGACGGAAAATCATGCAAATTGTGTGACTGTGGAGCCACTCATAACCCAGCTCGTCAGTCTGCAACAGATGATAACCAAGTTCACCAAGGGCGGCTCCGGCTTCATGCAAGCCCCCGACTACGCGGCGTGCGACACTCGCATTCTCGCTATCGTCGACCGCGTCGCGGACGTCGCAGACAACTCAGCGGAGGACCTCACCGTGCCTCTGATTATGCCACCTGGGCCTAGACTGCACGACCCTCGTAGTTGCCGTAGAGTGGTGAGAGCCGTTACGCAGACGTACATACGTACCGCGGCTGAAATGGGCATTCCTCCTCGTGACTTTCCATAGCGAACTGGACTGTCCAACGACGACGTCATCAACCGTCTCCGTCGCACGCCTACTAAGCGGGCTCGTCTGGGCAGTAAGCACACGGCTGTGGCTGGTTGCAGCGGCAGCGACGGCCTAGACGGAGAAATGTTGCGATGCAACAGCTCTTGTACAGAAGCGCCAGTGGTACAGGTGGAGGGAGTGGCGTAAAGCCATGAACGACATTGGTGTTTTGCCAGGAACGCCCTTCAAGCTGGAGCCAGGTGCGGAGTCACCTCCACCTAAAGCAGAGGCCGCTGATAGCGAGACACGGGACGCTGAAGCAGATGAGGATCTTGTGAGCGAGGAGGACAATAGGGAACAAGACAGTGATGGGGGTATTGAGTGCACGCAGGCCCAGTGATAGTGAGAGGGCAATGGAAGGAAAAAGCGCCTAAGGGGAGTCCAGTACTGAGCAAACGTATAAGTTGTTGTGGTTGTTTTTGTGCATGGAATGCATTGATTTTGATGGTGTGGTGAACGATTATGCACATGGTTGTAGCTTGTGTGTTGTTGTCAGAAGATGTGTTTACGTTTAGAATCACACTGTCAAAAATAACTGTGGTGGTGTAAGTGTTGCAACACATTTTGTGTGACCACGAATGTACCGCTGTAGTGCGAGGTCACCATACACGGTGGCATGAGCAGGCTGGTACGTGAATGGTCACAATTGCGTTCAACCTGGACCGATAGGGGTAGTGCTTGAATATGTCTTGCTGGCAAGCAAGGATAGGGCAGCAAATTTCGAGGTGAGTGGGTGGCTTCCACGTCAAACAATGCCTACTTCGAACTCAAGTCATGGACGAGGGCAAGTTTGTGCACAAAACAAGGCGATGTGCACCATTGTGCACATCGTCTCTCTAGTTGCCGTAGGCAACATGGACAGTGGCACAGAGAGCGGCCGAGCGTCCAGGGACGGAAAAAGTCAGCGTGTGTCCAAGACTCCGTCGCACCTGAAGAACTATGTGCTGCCGGGAAGCTCCAAGCGTCCACCGGTGCCGAAGGCGCCGGTTGCTAAGCGGGCGAAAACTGCTGCGAGGCCCGCACCGAGCGTGACTTCGAAACGTGGTATGTGTGTCGTGAGTTTTATTGTGCGTGTTTAAATGATCGTGTAGGGTACACGGCCCACACTAACACTTACCGTGGCTTTGGTTCGCAGCGTCAACTCCCCCGCCCGAAGCGCATGACCATCGGGATGGCGAGAGCTCATCGTCTCGCGAGACGACCTCCAATCGCCGCAAGGCAGGACCTTCAAGGACGCACGAGGAAGCGCGTTCCGCTCGGACTGGAAAGAGGCGCAGGGTGTCAGAAATGGCGGACGAGGAAGGCACTGATGAACCATCACCGACGGGCCCGGACCCTGTGTCGTCAGACCACAATCCGAACGAAGCTCTTCCCCGAGTAAATCCGCGCGTCGACGGCAACGAAGAGGCTACGCAGGAGGAGGCCTCCGATTCCGCTCCAGTGACGCGGGCGGAGATGGTTGCACTGCGCAAGATGCAGATGGAAACGGCAGCGACCATGGCAAGGGTGGAGACGGCACTGCTGGCCTCGCTCGCCAACCACCCGGTCAAGAAACGCAAGCGTGACAACGCAAGGGGCGAGTGTGACAGGGTCAACCCACGTAAGGCGAGGCGCGTTGCGAGTCCCGAACCTTCTGTCGACGAGGACGAGCTGGAGGACGAGGTCGGTCGCCACGTGAGGACGTCGAGCTCTCCGATCCTGCAGCGAGCGCTGAAGTTTTTACCGGCGAACAAAGGGTGGAAGGTGGGAGGATGGGGTTAAAAAGTTGTACAAGGGGGGTGCATTGGGTGTATAAGCATGTCTGATCCATGTTCAAAGTCCGGTGGAGGAGTATCTTACGTCACAGCTAATATGCCAGGACTGTCTTTGTGTCCGCTGCATCACGCAGGAAATTTGCGAGCAGCTGCGTGTGCATCTTTTTGTGGACGCGCCGGACGCGGTGATGTCGTTCTACCCCAGTAGCGTGGCGAAGAGTGCCGGGCTGTGCGCGATCATTGACCGTCTGACTCCCGCTTTTGCAAGCCTCGCATTGGCTGCAGACAAAGGGAGACGCGCTGACCTGAACCGTTCGTTTAGCGACTGGAAGAAGGCGGCCGCGGGGCGTGTCCGGGACATTGCGATGCCGAAACTGGGACTTTTCCGCAACGAGAAGGACGCGCGCAGCCCGTGGGCTGCCCCCAAGGCTCGCTCGGCGGCGAGGGTGAAGGAGCGCCTGCTGCTGACACTCGATGGGGAGGGTAAGACAGTATCGCGATGCTTGGTACGTGTGTGAGCTCGTTTGTGCTGATAATGACTACGAAATGGCCGCCTGGTTGTCGTGCAGACCATTTCGCTATCTCCAAGTGGAGCGAGGACAGGCACGGCATGCCCTTTGCGTCCGGGGCCTTTGCTGCATGCGCCCGAGCTGCTTTCAGGCCCAGGATGGTGAACGGGACGCTGACTCTGAAGCTGTATCACTTGGCGTGGCTCGAACACGTGGTGAGCGTTGCCAGTCGAAACATGTCTCCTGGTCCGACGTAGTTTCCGTGAAAACCGTTGCAGAGGTGCATACCGTGGCTGAAAATGCGCATCTGTCCGTTCAAATGCGCAGGTTACCGACGCGATCCGCTACTGGGACACCCGCAAGGGCAGGCTGTCGAACTCTGCGGGTGTCAACGCGCAGATCGTGGACGGCCTCCGCGAGTGCGCGCTCGTGGACGTCATGGCCGCCATCAAGCAGTTCCAGCCGCAGTACGACCCCACGACGTCATCGTGGGCGTGGGGCCGCCATGGGCTGCGCCTGTCTGCATGCGCGATTGAGAGGCAGGAGCACGCCGGGCAGGCACCCAGCGTGAGCGAAGGCGCACGGGACAACATGTCCCTTACCTGAGGATGGGCAAAAAATGCAGGCTGAAGTGCAAAGTGCACGGGGTGTCGATCAGTTACCGAGTAATGGGGACAGTGCGGGGGTGTGAGAACAGCAATTGTCGAAGGAACGGTTGTAGATGCTGAGTTGTGGAGGTAGTGTGGTTGAAGTTGTTAGTGTGGCGTGGTTGAATCGTAGGTTATGTAATGTTGGCTGTGTTGTGAAAAGAGCATGTATTGCGTAAGATGGCGTGCACAAGAAGCTATCAAAATCATACATTTCAAGCGACCGGGGGACATAGGGTCCAGACTCAAAATCAGGGCATGACAAATGTAGGATTTCACGCGGCCCGATTGTGAGAATAGTGGATATGGACGGTTCGATTTGTGATTGGGTGAAACGCGTTGCGGCGAGATGGGCTGCGTTGCACGTGTCAGTGATGGTTTCGAAGTGTGGTAACATCATGAGTGTGGGTGTCGCAATAGGTCGTACAGCGTCGATGGCCTTCCATATAAGTGGTGGTGCGTGGACGTGCGACAGTTTCGACGTAGGCGATGGGCTGTGAGGAGAGCAGGTAGTTTTCGGGCGATGCATCGAGAACGTCGATGTGAGCGAATCTGTTACGCGGTGGGTCGTGGTTCTCGACATGATTCAATGGGTGAGGTAATGCATGCAGGGTGATGTTGTTGTAGCGATGCGTGAATGTCCGCCGTTGATCATCACCATGAAGTGTGCACAGTTACCGTGGATGAGGAATTGATCTTGGGAGGATTGGGGGCCACGTGTGCGAGTTGTCGAAAATGCAGGCTAATCGGGATCGTCGAAGCATTAGCGGGTGGACGGTTGAAAGATGGTGCATTCGGGTGACGTGTGCACACATTGACCGCATGGTTGAGATGTAGTGGCGCTTCTATGTGCGTGGATGTGTGGGTTGATGGACCTTCCAGATGCGGCGTCGCCTTTGGTTGGCCGGTGCGTAGAAGCCGTTGATCATGGCGCGTTGTGGTGTGATCGTGGCGGTCTATTTGTGGCGGGTTGGTTGTCACGTGGTTGTTGATGATTGGGAGTTGGGTAGTGACACGCACGTACGTTATGGTGAGTAGTACGATAGTTGATACGGCTTTGTTGTAACTGTACTGCCAAGAGGGTGCTTACGTGGCAGTTGTGCATTTCGGTGGTTATCCGGTGACGCAATTGTGGTTGTGTGCGTCGTAACGGACGAGTGAAGTGTTGGTGACAATATGGTAACCCTGGTGGTGACAGAAATGTGTTGTTCCCGATTCTTTTGCGGGACGGATGCGTGAGGTTTACGTCACTGGCAAGGTGACGGCTCACCCTTGTACTTGTGACCATGACTTTTCCATGACCAAAAAATGTCACCATAATGTCACTTTCCTGACTTAGCATTTTCGCGATGAACGTCAACGCTACCCACTCAGGCACAGGCTGTGCTAACTACCTGGCTGAGCAATGCCTCGTCCAACGAACATCGCTTGCCGGGGATTGACATGAATCCCCGGCACGCCGGGTAATGCGAGGCCCCCTCTCCGGCCCGGCCCACGCCGCGCACGAACACGAACCGAACACACAGCCAAGTCGTGCGAACAAACAACCACTGCGGGTACCCGCAGGCAGACAGGCGAGGGCTGACAGAGATCGCCTTCCTGGGGTGTCCGGACATTGAAGTGGGGACAGCGAAAAGTACATTCCGCACGTGCAAGAGATTGGGCACGATGATGAGGTGGAGGGGGAACGAATCTGGACGTCGCAATTGTTCAGAGGTCCCCAACGTGCGAACACCCCTCATGATCGGACGGTTGGGCCTGACCAACTAGAATTGAGATGCGATCACAGATCGTAGATGGAGTCGTGCAGGAAATTTTGATCGCACACTGGAGAGTAGGTGAGAACGTGAAAGCAGCGTGGAAGCAACGTGAAATCTGCCACGCTGGACCCAGATATTTGTACTTTTGGGGGCTGTCCTGTCCCAAGTTCGTAGGAAGGCGATCAGAGCCTAGGGTTGCCACCGACGCGGCTTTGTGCTCCAAGGATAAAAGGCGGTGCCAGTATCCAGCGCGGGGACAGCATTTTTTTAAATGCAGTGTCGATCGCAACTTGAGATCTAACAGTTTGTAATCTCTAACGGAAAGTTTCTCGCGTCCGCGACGGCTTACTAGGAGCAGCGATATTACTAATAGAGGCAATAGTAGAGGCTCTAGAGGCAAGCGCAATAGTAGTCACTACTATTATGTTTCTGACCCTAGCGTCACTACTATTTGGTAGTACGGTACTACCAGTGCCACGTCACTCCTGCGCTATGGCGCGGCTTCGCGCTCTCGGCTTGGCTGCTTTTGTGATTCTCGTTCTGCTCTGCCAGAGTGGTAAGTCCACCTCCTCCCACCATAATACTCCCGCACTCGCTCTCACTGGCACTCTCCCTCGCCTCGCTCTTCTCCCGCATTCCTTCCGCCTCGCTCTTCTCCCGCATTCCTTCCGCCTCACTCTTCTCCCGCATTCCTTCCGCCTCGCTAAAGCATTCTCATGTATCGTGACGCAGCAACTGCACTTCATGTGTGCACCTCAGTACTCTCCCCCCATACTCTCGATCTCTCCGAGATATCAGACTCATGTCTGACAGGCCGTCACTATTCGTGTGTGCGCAGGTTCAGAAGCGGTGCGACTGGCGCCCACCACTCCCACCACCGCCACTCCCGGCAACGCCGCAATCAACAAGACTGCTACCACTAGGACTCCCAAGGTGAGCATGCCTGCACGTGACCATGCCCTGTGATCCCACGGCGCGTGCGCGATCCCGCTGAAGCGCTCTCTTAGTGGGAATGGGGGACGTGACGCATGGCACCACCCCCGGGCTTCTCTAGGAGAATCACTCCTGCACCCGAAACTAGTCGAATGGCTTGAAGCATGTCGCTCTGCACTCATCCCCTCATCAACTCATCGGCTCACCCGGCTCATCGGCTCATAGGGCTCATCGGCTCAACTGTGTGTAGCCTAGCCCATCACGTGGCAGGTCTGTGGTCAGCATGACCTGACCGGCCTGGATGTTTGTGCTGACCGGCCTGGATGTTTGTGCTGACCGGCCTGGATGTTTGTGCTGACCGGCCTGGATGTTTGTGCTGACCGGCCTGGATGTTTGTGCTGACCGGCCTGGATGTTTGTGCTGACCGGCCTGGATGTTTGTGCTGACCGGCCTGGATGTTTGTGCTGACCGGCCTGAATGTTTGTGCTGACCGGCCTGGATGTTTGTACTTTTCAAGTGGCACCTAAACCACAACACCTTTCCCCGCTGCCTTTTGCTACAACAGGCCGGCAAGACGTTTCATTTCAAATTATGGCTGTTCCATGCGGGTTGGGGCAATAGGGACACGCCGAGTGGGGGGGATACCATTGGTACGTTTCTTTCTCTCCCCCTCGCACTCCCTCGCTCTCTTATCTCTCCCTCTCGCACTCCCTCGCTCTCTTATCTCTCTCCCTCGCACTCCCTCGCTTCTTGATCTCTCCCCCTCCTCTCGTCGTGTCGTGTTTCGTTGTGTTCTCCAACTTCACTCCTTGCCGGTGTTGGGCACTCAGGGATTTGTTCCTTTCCTGCCAAGAAGCCTCTCGCTTCCTCCTTCCCCCTCTCCCTCTCTTCCTTTCATCTCTCTTCCTCCCTTCTCTTCCCTTTCCTCACTCCATTTTTTTTCTTATCGTGTCCGGTTCGCTTTGTGTTCTCTAAATCCCCAACCACAGTGTTTGAGAATGGCGGATTCGTTCCCTTTAAGGATTTGGCACAGTTTGAGAACAAAAAGGCATATGAGGGATGGAACTACAAGACGGTAGAACCCTGGATAGAATTTCTTTGGTTCCGCGCGAAATACAAGTGCGTACCTTTGTCTACTTCATTTTTTTTAGTATTCCGCACTTGTCTGTCTATTTCTTTACCCCATCTTCGGGGAAAATGTATTTGCTGATGCGTGTAGAACTATTCATATTGTCTTGCAGGTACACTGTGCCATACGCCGTTATCGGAGATCACCTCTACTTTGGCTCGAGCCCTTGGCTCTGCAAGCATTGGGGTTTTAAGTTTAAGATTCCTGTGAAACCTTACACACCATGACACGAGTCAAGTCATGGTACGTGTATTACCTTGGTACAGAAATGCCTTCTTCTCCTCTCTGGTACAAGACTCTTGTGGGGCCATACTCACTTGGTGGCAGCTAGTTGAGGTGCCCATGGCACAAAGCAAGCACTGGTTGGTTAGTCCGTACTAAAATGTTGTCTTCTTTCTTGTCCGCAGATATGAGTAATAATAACGTGCGTTATATTAGAATTGTATTCCTAGTGTGTCTTTCTCTTGTGGATATTGGATATCTGAAGCCAGTTAAATGATGTACGGTACACTGTGGTTATCTAAAGTCGTTTATATTTGGGATTACATACTAAGGGGGGTCATATCAAATTAGGGTTGGTGATCTCTCTTTAGTCTGCCCTGCGTGACCTGGCTGGGGGTAACCTTCATTACACGCCCTATGAGGAAGTATGCGTTTGGCCTTTACTTAGTTCTGGTAATGGTTCCTCTGATTTCTGTGTTACCGTATGGCCCCGGATATAGGCGCCGGCCTATTACAAGCGCCGGCGCTTCTATCTGGAGCATGGCGCTTATGGCCGTTCCTCGATTATAAGCGCCCCCCCTAAAAATGCTTTACTCAGGGTACGTTCCTGTGGAGACAGTTGTGTCTCAATCCCCTTTTTTTCGAGTCGCGTCTACACATTTTTGCAATCTCGCGTCACAAAAAATGAGTGTATCACGAAACTGTGCGACCAGGCGAAATTTACAGCTGTGCTCATTTGATTGGATTTCAAACTTGACTGGACACCTGTTTCTTCAACTGTCTGGTTCGGGTGGGGTTTTGATGAGCGGAACTTTTTCCCGCGCGAGATTTTTACTGTGGAATGTCTAGGTGCATTGACATTTCGAACCGCGTACAGAGTTGTTGACAATGACGGGTCGATACACAACTCGTCCGCGACATCAGCGCGTTTCACGCTGACAAATGAAAAATACATTAAAAGTCGCACAGGGGCGACACGCGTTTGTGACATTGTGCGTTATAAGCTGATTTTACGCGTCACAAAAGGATTGAGACACAAGTGTCTCCACAGGAACGCACCCTTATTATAAGCGCATGTGTAATTTTAATTTAAAATATTGCTTAGAACATTAACGAGCTTCATTTTTGCAGCGAGTCAGATTTCAATTTCGCTTCGTTTGACTCTCGAAGACCTGACTGGCTGCGCGTCCAGTCAGAATATGCTGGCATGACGTGTGTTTTCCTCTGTGTGCTGGCAGAATATCGCTCGCGCGCGATTCTGCTTTGTGACGCAAAAAATAATCGACTCGGTTGAAATGACAAAAAGAAAATGGAACATTTTCGTGCTCTAAATATATAATTTTGTATTGTCATTATATAAGCGCCGGCGCTTATGGCCGTTACTCAATTACAAGCGCCACCCCCTAAAAAAATGAATTTATTATAAGCGCATATGCGCTTATATCCGGGGCTATACGGTATCATGGCCTTGGGTCTCATTGGCATTGCCATTAACTCAACTTGTCAGATCAGACCTTGCAACAAGATTGACTGACTGATACGGAGAGTTTCCACCAGCTTCCCTCAATGTTTAACCCCCCATCACTGTCGCCCTCCCAGCATCCTGATTCCTCGAGCATTTGCACAACAGACAGCACACAAGGGAGCAATGCTGCTTCTTTTAAGCCCCTCAAACGGCCCCATCCTCTCCTCTCCTCATCACCCCCACACAACTGGCTCCCTCGCAGCATCTTTAACTACCTGCCCTTCTGCAACCCCCCTTTCAAAATGCATCCTTTGAAGCCCCTCAGACGCTCCTTTCTCCTCTGCCCTCTCTAGCCCCCACACCCCGTTCCAACCTCACCCCCACGCAACCAGCTCTCTCCCGGCATCTTCAGACATCTGCACTTGAGCAAACACCGGCACGAAAACACTCTTCACTCCACAACGGATCCTCACCACACCCCCCCACACCCTCCCACACCCTCCCACACCCCCCCACACCTCCCACACCCTCCCACACCCCCCCACACCCGGCACCCTCCCAGCACCCTTCAGAATCTGCTCTTTCAAGCCCCTCAACCTCTCTCTTCCCCCCCTCACCGCCCCACTCGCTCTCCCACCCTCGCACCCTCACCCCCGCACCACGGGCCCCCTGCCACCATCCTCTAGTATCTGCACCTCAGCAAACACAAACACTGACATCACGCCGTTCTTCAAGTACTTGCTCTCGTCCTCCCTGCACCGCATCCGCCCACAGCCGCCCCACAAGAGCCCTCTCAGTGTTTACCCCCCCACCACTGGGCCCCTCCCGGCATCCTCTAGTATCTGCACCTCAGCAAAGACGGACATGATGCCGTTCTTGAAGTACTTGCTCTCATCCTGCACCACGTCCGCCCACGGCCGCCCCAGGATGTTGCTGTACCCCCAGTTGCTCGCGTTGCGCCCGAACCCCTTGGTCACTCGATCAAGGAGGTAGTCAAACTGGCCCTCCGGCCACCTCTTGGCGTAGAATATGAAGCTCACCTGGAAGAAGAAGGGGGAAAGGGACGAGGAGGGAGGACGGGGGGGATGGGAGGGGAGAGGTGGAAGGGGACGGAGATGGAAGGGGGTTGGAGGAAAGTGGGGGAGAGAAGAAAGCAGGGAAGGAGGTGAAAAAAAAACAATTTCAAATTGCTTGCATTGCGCCCAAACCCCTTGGTCACGCGGTCACGAAGGTAGGCCTATACACCACCTCTTGGCATACGATGGAGCTCAGATCACGAGGGGGAAGAGCGAAGAGGTGAGGTGAGCGGGAGGGAAGAGGGGGAGGGGAAGGGCGTAGGGAAGGGGGAATGGAAGGTGGAATGGCAGAAAGGAAGGGGAGCAGGAGGGGGAAGGGAAGGTGGAAGGGCAAGGGGACGGGGAGAAAGCGACAGAGGTGCATGCAAAGGTGCAGGTGCATGCAAAGGTGCAGGTGCATGCAAAGGTGCAGGTGAATGCAAAGGTGCAGGTGAATGTAAAGTTGCAGGTGAATGCAAAGGTGCAGGTGAATGCAAAGGTGCAGGTGAATGCAAAGGTGCAGGTGCATGCAAAGGTGCAGGTGAATGCAAAGGTGCAGGTGAATGCAAAGGTGCAGGTGCATGCAAAGGTGCCGGTGAATGCAAAGGTGCAGGTGCATGCAAAGGTGCAGGTGCATGCAAAGGTGCAGGTGCATGCAAAGGTGCAGGTGCATGCAAAGGTGCAGGTGAATGCAAAGGTGCAGGTGCATGCAAAGGTGCAGGTGCATGCAAAGGTGCAGGTGAATGCAAAGGTGCAGGTGAATGCAAAGGTGCAGGTGAATGCAAAGGTGCAGGTGAATGCAAAGGTGCAGGTGAATGCAAAGGTGCAGGTGCATGCAAAGGTGCAGGTGAATGCAAAGGTGCAGGTGCAAGCAAAGGTGCAGGTGCATGCAAAGGTGCAGGTGAATGCAAAGGTGCAGGTGAATGCAAAGGTGCAGGTGCATGCAAAGGTGCAGGTGCATGCAAAGGTGCAGGTGCATGCAAAGGTGCAGGTGCATGCAAAGGTGCAGGTGAATGCAAAGGTGCAGGTGCATGCAAAGGTGCAGGTGCATGCAAAGGTGCAGGTGCATGCAAAGGTGCAGGTGAATGCAAAGGTGCAGGTGCATGCAAAGGTGCAGGTGCATGCAAAGGTGCAGGTGAATGCAAAGGTGCAGGTGAATGCAAAGGTGCAGGTGCATGCAAAGGTGCAGGTGCATGCAAAGGTGCAGGTGCATGCAAAGGTGCAGGTGCATGCAAAGGTGCAGGTGCATGCAAAGGTGCAGGTGAATGCAAAGGTGCAGGTGCATGCAAAGGTGCAGGTGCATGCAAAGGTGCAGGTGAAGGCAAAGGTGCAGGTGAATGCAAAGGTGCAGTTGCATGCAAAGGTGCAGGTGCATGCAAAGGTGCAGGTGCATGCAAAGGTGCAGGTGCATGCAAAGGTGCAGGTGAATGCAAAGGTGCAGGTGCATGCAAAGGTGCAGGTGCATGCAAAGGTGCAGGTGCATGCAAAGGTGCAGGTGCATGCAAAGGTGCAGGTGAATGCAAAGATGCAGGTGAATGCAAAGGTGCAGGTGCAAGCAAAGGTGCAGGTGCATGCAAAGGTGCAGGTGAATGCAAAGGTGCAGGTGAATGCAAAGGTGCAGGTGCATGCAAAGGTGCAGGTGCATGCAAAGGTGCAGGTGCATGCAAAGGTGCAGGTGCATGCAAAGGTGCAGGTGAATGCAAAGGTGCAGGTGCATGCAAAGGTGCAGGTGCATGCAAAGGTGCAGGTGCATGCAAAGGTGCAGGTGCATGCAAAGGTGCAGGTGCATGCAAAGGTGCAGGTGAATGCAAAGGTGCAGGTGCATGCAAAGGTGCAGGTGCATGCAAAGGTGCAGGTGAATGCAAAGGTGCAGGTGAATGCAAAGGTGCAGGTGCATGCAAAGGTGCAGGTGCATGCAAAGGTGCAGGTGCATGCAAAGGTGCAGGTGCATGCAAAGGTGCAGGTGCATGCAAAGGTGCAGGTGCATGCAAAGGTGCAGGTGCATGCAAAGGTGCAGGTGCATGCAAAGGTGCAGGTGCATGCAAAGGTGCAGGTGCATGCAAAGGTGCAGGTGCATGCAAAGGTGCAGGTGCATGCAAAGGTGCAGGTGCATGCAAAGGTGCAGGTGAATGCAAAGATGCAGGTGAATGCAAAGGTGCAGGTGCAAGCAAAGGTGCAGGTGCATGCGAAGGTGCAGGTGAATGCAAAGGTGCAGGTGAATGCAAAGGTGCAGGTGCATGCAAAGGTGCAGGTGCATGCAAAGGTGCAGGTGCATGCAAAGGTGCAGGTGCATGCAAAGGTGCAGGTGAATGCAAAGGTGCAGGTGCATGCAAAGGTGCAGGTGCATGCAAAGGTGCAGGTGCATGCAAAGGTGCAGGTGCATGCAAAGGTGCAGGTGCATGCAAAGGTGCAGGTGAATGCAAAGGTGCAGGTGCATGCAAAGGTGCAGGTGCATGCAAAGGTGCAGGTGAATGCAAAGGTGCAGGTGAATGCAAAGGTGCAGGTGCATGCAAAGGTGCAGGTGCATGCAAAGGTGCAGGTGCATGCAAAGGTGCAGGTGCATGCAAAGGTGCAGGTGCATGCAAAGGTGCAGGTGAATGCAAAGGTGCAGGTCCATGCAAAGGTGCAGGTGCATGCAAAGGTGCAGGTGAATGCAAAGGTGCAGGTGAATGCAAAGGTGCAGGTGCATGCAAAGGTGCAGGTGCATGCAAAGGTGCAGGTGCATGCAAAGGTGCAGGTGAATGCAAAGGTGCAGGTGAATGCAAAGGTGCAGGTGAATGCAAAGGTGCAGGTGAATGCAAAGGTGCAGGTGCATGCAAAGGTGCAGGTGCATGCAAAGGTGCAGGTGAATGCAAAGGTGCAGGTGAATGCAAAGGTGCAGGTGCATGCAAAGGTGCAGGTGCATGCAAAGGTGCAGGTGCATGCAAAGGTGCAGGTGCATGCAAAGGTGCAGGTGCATGCAAAGGTGCAGGTGAATGCAAAGATGCAGGTGAATGCAAAGGTGCAGGTGCAAGCAAAGGTGCAGGTGCATGCGAAGGTGCAGGTGAATGCAAAGGTGCAGGTGAATGCAAAGGTGCAGGTGCATGCAAAGGTGCAGGTGCATGCAAAGGTGCAGGTGAATGCAAAGGTGCAGGTGAATGCAAAGGTGCAGGTGCATGCAAAGGTGCAGGTGAATGCAAAGGTGCAGGTGAATGCAAAGGTGCAGGTGCATGCAAAGGTGCAGGTGCATGCAAAGGTGCAGGTGAATGCAAAGGTGCAGGTGCAAGCAAAGGTGCAGGTGCATGCAAAGGTGCAGGTGAATGCAAAGGTGCAGGTGAATGCAAAGGTGCAGGTGCATGCAAAGGTGCAGGTGCATGCAAAGGTGCAGGTGCATGCAAAGGTGCAGGTGCATGCAAAGGTGCAGGTGCATGCAAAGGTGCAGGTGCATGCAAAGGTGCAGGTGAATGCAAAGGTGCAGGTGCATGCAAAGGTGCAGGTGCATGCAAAGGTGCAGGTGAATGCAAAGGTGCAGGTGAATGCAAAGGTGCAGGTGCATGCAAAGGTGCAGGTGCATGCAAAGGTGCAGGTGCATGCAAAGGTGCAGGTGCATGCAAAGGTGCAGGTGCATGTCCAAAGACCCCCATTTCAGATGCTACCCTGGAGTAGAGTGCCTGCACCATCATTCCCCTCCCTGCACCATCATCCCCCTCCCTGCACCATCATCCCCCTCCCTGCACCATCATCCCCCTCCCTGCACCATCATCCCCCTTCCTGCAGTGGTCTGAAGTTGGAGTGAATCACACCTGGTCCTCAAATCAACCATACCTGAATTTCAGGCTGCACGCTGTGGTGCAGCGAATGTCAAGCGTCTCCGTGCCGTCATCTCGCCGCCCGTGCCGGGCTGACAGGTAGAACCGCTTCCCACCGATCCCAAACGTGGCAGACTCCACCGTCGCTGCCACTGCTAGTGCCTGGAGGGAGAGAGATAGAGAGAGGGACGAAGTGAGCAGAGAGAACGGGAGGGAAGGGGAGGGGACGAGAGGGGAGGCGAGAATAGGGGAGGGGAGGGGATGGGAAAAAAAGGGAGAGAAAAGGAATTTCTTTCAATCCACAAATCCCAACAGCTACTAGTGCATGCATGAAGTAAAGTGAGGAGAAGTGAAGTGAGGAGACGCAAAGTGAGGACAGCCATAAAACCAGGAAACCATATATGTGACACCAACAGAGCACCCACCTGAAACCTCTCGAGGTGAATATCGAAGTACACGTGGCCCACGGAGTTGCGGTTCCAGCGGCGCTGCCAGAAGCGCCTGTGCGTGGCGGCCGTCTCGTTCATGAGGCGCAGGCGACGCACCAAGCTGTATGCCCGGAACCATGCTGCTTCCCGCACCTGGCAGGGAACAAGGATATCAACGGAAAATGGAAACAGGAGGCGGGCGGGGGGAGGAGGATTGGAGGGGGGGTGAAGAGGAAGATGGGGAGTTAGCAAGGCCTTGGCTTCAGCATAGAGAACACCATTGAACCCAGCAACCCAGCACCTTGACTTCTTATACACCTGGTCTGCCTAATACCTGTCTCACTAGCGCCCAGCCTCTCACCATCGCCTGGCACTCGGGGCTGTCCACCTCAGGGGTCTTGAGCACCACGTCTTCGAGGTCAACACCAAACCCTTCCCCACCAACCCTGCTGCAACCTCCCCTCTTGACACCCGAAAACCCCACCCTCCCCGCCACCCGCCAGCCACCCCACACTCACCAGCGCCTGGCACTCGGGGCTGTCCACCTCAGGCGCCTTGAGGTGGACAGATACCCCCTAGCCCAGGCCCACCTTGTGACCCCACCACACACATACACACGATCAACACTCACCAGCGCCTGGCATTCTGGGCTGTCCACCTCGAGTGCCTTGAGCACCACGTCCTCGAGATCGTCGCCTGTTATGAGGGGGAACCGCACGTGCTCTGCTAGCCGCACCGCTGCCCGCCTGGTGGAGTGGTGGAAAGAGGTGGTGTGTGGTGGGTGGGAGGTGGTGGAGAGGGAACAAGAATAGTAAGGCATAATGGTGAGAAGACGAGGACACAGCACCACGTCCTCAAGGTCGTCCCCTGTCATGAGGGGGAAACGCACGTGTTCCGCTAGACGCACCGCTGCCCGCCTGCAATGGACGGCGGGGAGTGTTGGAGAGTGGTGGTGTGAGATGGAAAAAGAGCGTTGAGGTGGCATGATGGTGACGAGATAAGAGCACAGCACTACGTCTTCGGAGTCGCGTGTCACGATGGTGAGGGTGACGATGACGGTGAGGGTGAAGGGCCCGTGCTCCGTCAGCCGCACTGCTGTCCCGTCACAGCAAAAGAGGGTGGGGTGTGTACTGTGCGTGTGCGCATGCGTGTGGGAGGGGAGAAGTAACGACTCACTTCCGGTCGTCCAAATGATCGTGGTGGTGCCGCAGCCACTCCACCATGCCATGGAACACAATCAGCTCTTCCCTCGCTTGCAGCAAGAGAGGCCGTGTATGTGTGTGTGTGTGCGTGTGCATGTGCGTGCGTGAGAGGGGGCGAAGGGCGGAAATGAAGGGGGGAGGAGGGATGGTTAAAAGGAAATGACCCCACCCTCGCTTAGGCGAAGCCGACTTCGCAGCCGGGTGCGCGGAATATGCGGCGTGGCTGCTATCAGTGGTCGACACCGACTTGGGAGAGGAAGTCGACAACCTTGATCAACTTCCACGGCACCATTGTGAAGCCGCCAAAGAGGGTAGTCGGGGGCCGACTTCGGCGTGGGCGGTCGACGAAGGACTTCGCAGACCTGTGGGTGTCGACTTGACTGGCAAGCCGACGCCGCCTTCCAGATTCAGCCGGTTGACCAAGTAGCCAGGGTGACGATGTTCTGCAGGAGGGTGTCACATGCGTCGCCCAGGAGGGTTTGGTGAAGTTGACCAGCGGGCTGGTATCCCGAGGTCGACGCGGCACATCTGGCGCAACTGTCAGGACATGATCGACCTGGCACATGCGCGACGTGTGTGATGGTGCACGACGTGCACAACATGTACAATCACCTGCGAAGGAGGTGCGCGCACATGCGCTTGAATTCATCTACGGTTGCAAAGCTGGCAAGCGACCTAGCTGCAGCGCTGGCAAGCCGCTGACTTGCAACGTTGGCAAGCCGCAACCCAGCTGCGCAGGCTCGGTGTTGACTTGCAGTGCTGGCAGGCTGCGTCTGTGCTGCGCTGGCACGTTGTTGACTTGTAGTGCTGGCAGGTTGCGTCCGTGCTGCAATGGAGGTCGACCTGTTTGTGTTCAAGGTTACTAGGCCTCTGATGTAGTCATTGTTGCCATTGCTTTTTGCATCATTGTGTGATTCAATTTCGCTGGTGAAACTCTTGTCAAAGTGCCCTGTGAATGCGCAAGTAGAAGACACACAAGCAAACGCGACGATCACTTGTACCACCCGTGCCTTCTCCCGTGATCCAGCTCCCAGTGTTTAGTGCCTCTTTGTAGGGATGAAGGGGAAACAAGGAGGAAGGGAGTCGGGAAGAAAAGACCACTCACTTTCTGTCGTCCAAATCATCATGGTGGTGCCGCAACCACTCCACCATGGCATGGAACGCCGTGAGCTCGTCGCGCACATTCAGCTCATCACTGGCCAGCAGCGTCTGCACGCCCACCAGCGGCAGCTCCAGAAACTCCTCCCCCTTATGCACCCGCTCCAGATCCCTAAAATGCGCCACCAGAAACCCCCGAGAAGCTTCCAGCAGCTGCGCGACCCCTCTATGCGAGTGCATGGAGTCGGGGAGGGAGAGGTAGAGGCAGGCGGTGGGGACGGTCATGGGGAGGTTGACGAGGCGCTCGAGGCAGATCTTCATGCAGGAGGCGACGCCGAACTTGTCTGCCACGAGGTACATCTTGATGATGTCCTCTGGGTCGCTGCTGCCCTCCTGCATATCCCCCGTGTAGATGAATCGCAGGAGGTCGATTTTTGGGCCTTCCTCTGACGGTGGACGGGGAATGGGGGTGGGAGGGAGGAGGTGATGGAGAGGCAGGGAGGGGGCGGTGAGGTGAGGTGAGTGCTCCTCCTTTGGTTCGCTGCTGCTCTCCGGTGGGACGCACCGCCAAACCAAACTTGAATGCGACAGTGAAGCCACAGGCACACAAGTAAGGAGGGTGCGGAAGAAGAAGACGGACTAGCATCGTGTAGCGCAATGCAAGGCTGCAAGCTGCTCCCACCAAAACACGGATGGGATGGTACCTTCTGGCGAGACGTTGAGAACCACGGGGCTGTTCTGGCACGTCTTCTTGAAGCCACAGGTGAAGTGAGGGCGGAAGGGAACACACACTAACATTGTGTAACATCAATGCCTGCTGCTATCACCGAGCAAGGATGCTGGTACCTTCTGGAGAAACGTTGAGCACGACGGGGTTGTTCTGGCACGTCTCCTTAAAGCCACAAGTGAAGGGAGTGCGGAAGAAAGGCAGACAGATTGGCATTTGTAACTCAATGCATGCTGCTTACACTCAAGTATGGTTGGTACCTTCTGGCGAAACATTGAGCACGACAGGGTTGTTCTGGCACGTCTCTTTAAAGCCACACGTGAAGAGCGTGCGGAAGAAGGCAGACTTGGCTGCCAGCACCACCGAGGACAAATGCAGATTCACCACTCCGTACCCCCCACAACTCCCTATCGTCACACCACCGCCGCCGCCGCCGCCACCCAGATTCAGACTGCCGCCCAGATTTGCACCCCCGCTGCCGCCCAGATTCCCGCTACTGCCGCCCAGTTGAGCAGCAATGCTGCCGCCCCCTCCCAAGCCGCACCCACCACACATCCCTGTCCCCATCACCGCCCCTCCTACTGGCCGTTGGCTCGACTCGAAAGGCGCAAGCCCAGATGCTCCTAGATTGCCGAATCGTGGCGCCCTGGTTGGTGCTCCCCCAACCCCTGCAGGAACCCCTGCAGCAGCAGCAACAGCACTGCCAACAGCACCCGCACCAGCAGCACCAGCAGCTGCAGCTGCAGCAGTAGCAGCAGCAGGAGCACCGGCAGCAGTAGGAGCAGCGGCGGCGGCACCGCCAGCGGCAGCGGCAGCAGCAGCAGGAGCACCAGCAGCGGCGGCGGCACCACCATTAGCACCGCTGGTGGTGGTGGTGGTGAAGGGGCTATGAGGGCGGCTGCCGAGGCTAGCCCCTCCTGCCGAACCTCTTGTCAGTGCTGCCGCTTGGTCCGGTCCCAAACCTGCTGCCAGTGGTATGGCTGAAAGCGCAGAAGGGAAGGCCGGGAGCACGAAGAGGGGAGGGAGATGAGGGGGTAGGGGGGAGGGAGATGAGGGGGTAGGGGGGAGGGAGATGAGGGGGTAGGGGGGAGCGAGGATGGGGGGGTCGGAGCAGGCAAGGAGGGGAGGGGTGGGAGCAGATAAGGGGGTGAGGGCTGAGAGCAGGCTAGGGGCGGCGTAGGGAGCATACAAGAGGGAAAAGGGTGAGGAGGAAGTGGGGGGGCGGGGGAGGAGGGGTAGAGGGAGCAGGCAAGTGGTTGGCGGAGGGAACACAGGAGGAACGTAGAGAGAACGGGAGGTAAATGAGCGCTATAGGGACAATCGTTGACACGGTAAAGGGAACGTGTAACGGCGAGCGAAAACGTCATTAAGGGCTACAAGAAATCAAATAAAACTAGCAACAACAAAGGATGAAAGATGAGAAGAGCTTATTTGGTAACAAATAATCGTTGAGTATAAATAAACATCAAATAAGTACGACGTACAATACAAAATCCTGGAAACCCCCCCCCCACGGTCCCCCCAAGGCCCCCCTAAGGCCCCCCTGCCCCCCCCAATCCTCCTCACAGCCCCTCACTGCCCCCAACCCGCCCCCCCTATCCCTGGCATGGCATGGCCACAACACAAAGCAACATGCGAGAGATGTTCCTACATTCTTGTTACCTTGGTCTTCTTCTATTTCTGTTCCTGTTCCTCTTTCTCTTTCTGTGACAAGACGGCTGGAACAGCAACCAGGCGGCAGGAGCAGTTCCGGACGGCAGGAACAGTAGCCGGGCGGCAGGAGCAGTAACCGGGCGGCGGGAGCAGTAACTGGGCGGCAGGAACAGTAGCCGGGAGGCAGGAACAGTAACCGGGCGGCAGGAACAGTAACCGGGCTTGCAGGGGCCACAGCTAGCCCAAACCCACCCGTGCCTAGCCCAAGCCCACCCCGCAGCTCTTATATCGACACACGCACAAGTACAAACAAGAGCAAGGTTCATATCCTACTTGTATGTATATGCCTCGTGTCTTGGCGCGGTGAAAAGGTCTCTTCACGGCGCCCCGCAGGAAGGAGAGAACGCCACCTGCGCAAGGTGGGGTGGGGAGGGATGGTAGGATGACATGTGTGACAGCAGGGCGGGTGGTCTAGGTCAGCACTCTGTTCCTCTATTTCTCTTTCCTGCTTTTCTGTTTCATATCTTCTATCGCTAGGTCAGCAGGGAGGGGAGGCCCACCTGTGAGTGCGTGAGTGAGGAGGTCGCTGGGCCTGCCACACTGGGCCTGGCTCGGACCGCCACAGGCCTGGCCGGACCTCTCCGCCTCTGCCCAAACCTCATGCGGCCTTGCCCGAGCCGTTCCCCGGCCCGAAAACACAAACCGCCCACACCCCCAGGGCTCGCCCTAACCAACCCCCGAGCCTAGGCCGAACCAGCCTGCCTCCTCAGGCCTGGCCACACTAGCTAGCTCATAGTTGATTACTGTACAAGCATCATCCATATAAGCACGTCCTATCGACGTCTATTATTCCATTTTTTTCGTCGCAGCAGAATGTCTTCGTGGCTGCCACAGGAGAAAATGGCACCTGCACAAGGAGAGAGGACAGAGGGGAGGGAGGGGGAGAAGTGGAGGTGATGGGAGAGAGCCAACAACAGCAAAAGCGACCGACCCTCACCTAGCTGTGCTGACCCTCACCTGGCTGTGCCAAGCCTCTGTGCCGAGCCTCTCATCTTGCTATGCCGAGCCTCTCATCTCGCTGTGTGGGCCTCTCACCGGGCTGTGCCAAGCGTCTCAGCTAGTTGTGACAAGCCTCTCACCGGGCTGTACCGAGCCTCTCCAGGCTGTACCGAGCCTCTCCAGGCTGTGCCGAGCCTCTCCAGGCTGTACCAAGCCTCTCCAGGCTGTACCAAGCCTCTCCAGGCTGTACCGAGCATCTCCAGGCTGTGCCGAGTCTCTCCAGGCTGTGCCGAGCCTCTCACTCACCGGCTGTGCCAAGCCTCTCACTCACCGGGCTGTGCCGAGCCTCTCACTCATCGGGCTGTGCTGAACCTCTCACTCACCGGGCTGTGCCGAACCTCTCACTCACCGGGCTGTGACATGCCTCTCACTCACCGGGCTGTGCCGAGCCTCTCACTCACCGGACTGTGCCGAGCCTCTCACTCACCAGGCTGTGACGAGCCTTTCACCGGGCTGTGCCGAGCCTCTCACTCACCAGGCTGCACCGAGCCTCTCACTCACCAGGCTGTGCCGAGCATCTCACTCATTGGGCTGTGCGAACCTCTCACCGAGCTGTGCCGAACCTCTCATCTCGCTGTGCAAGCCTCTCATCTGGCTGTGCCAAGTCTTCCACCTCGCTGTGCCGAGCCTCTCGCCTCGCTGTGCCGAGCCTCTCGCCTGGCTGCGCCGAGCCTCTCGCCTGGTTGCGCCGAGCCTCTGGCCTGGCTGCGCCGAGCCTCTGGCCTGGCTGCGTCGAGCCTCTGGCTTGGCTGCGCCGAGCCTCTGGCCTGGCTGCACCGAGCCTCTGGCCTGGCCGTGGCGGGCATGTTCCGAGATGACGCTGCCAATGTTGGCTTCGCCTCACCCGAGGCCCCTGGGAGGAGGACGAAAAGGGGGAGAGGGTAGGTGGGAGGGAGAGCGATGAGAGGGGGCAGGAGTAAGGGGTGGAAGGAAGGGGGGATGGTGCAGGAGAGGGGAGGAGTGGAAACGCGCCGTTCTGCCGCCTGCAGCGCAGAAACGCGCCGTTCTGGCACTGTTGCTCGCGCGGCTGGCGGGAGAGTGGTCGCAAGGGGAAAAGGCAGTGAAGCAAAGGATGTTTGACTGCACACGACAAAAGTAGCACGAGACGGACAAGATGGGTGACTACTAGTAGAATGGCGGTGTGAGTTGGAGTGAATCTGACCAACGCCGCGTGGAGCGGAGCTTAGCTTCGAGTCGACCCGAGAACCGACCTCCAACACCGCGTTGCGTTCCAAACAGCTTGTAACAAAAAGGGTCGTGCGATGTGAGGCCATCGCGGATCGTCGCAGTCGCCTTTCCGTGGCTAGCGACGGTCGTCGGTGTCACTCCCCTTTCCGTGGCTAGCGACGGTCGTCGGCGTCACTCCCCTGCTACGTGTCGTCCACCCCGTGATTCTCGCCAACTCCCAAGGTGCGCTTGATTTGCAGCGCGAGGCGTTCAAACGCTCCAACCCGCAGCAAACTCCATCTTCATACACCGACCCCTACCGCATTGTAACGTGGCGCACTGTTGCTCCGCGCCGCCACCTGCTGATGCGCGCGCACCCTCAGCCGAGCGTGCCTTTGACACTCGTGGGAGAGGTCCGTCACAACAAAACTGGCGGAAATCATTCCTCATGAAATCCTAAAGCACTGTTTCAAGTAATTGAGTGCAATCGAGTGATTGAGCGAGAATTGCACAATCGAAGCAAGAGTACAATGAGCGAAGGCATGAGCGAAGAATATATAGCGAAACTACAGTGGTAACACTAATGAACTGTGGGTGACGCGCGACGGGCCTGGAACTGAGGTTGGGAAAATGTCAAGGCCGAGGCCCGGAGCGCGGGTTATCCGCCGAGCCGTGAGGTCGGGGTGCGACGTGCGAAGATGGCGGGAGGATTGTCGATGCGAGGGTTGCGAGTGGGGTACTCTATAACGAGTACAACCCAATTAGGGTTGCCTATATGTATGCCAACTGCTGCTAGTGCAAACCCTCCTTTGTTCATTTCTCCTTCTGACTGCTAATTTTCACATGGTTTCAGAGCAGGTCGACCCCCTTGGGTCGATCCTGTGGGTGGGCCCGCCACCTAACTGCTTCCGCTGCTGTTCTACTTCTCGCGCGCCTCGGGCGCGCGACATCTTCTTCCTGCCGTGCGCTCCGGGCGCGCGGCGGTTTTCTGCTGTGGGGACCCGCGCACAGCCCCCGCCCGTCTCGTCGCGTCGCCCTGCAGACCGCGCGCGCCCCCCCTCCCGTCCGTCGCGGCGCCCTGGGGAGTAGCGCGCGGCCCCCTCCCGTCCGTCGCGGCGCCCTGGGGAGCTGCGTGCGCCCCCCGCCCGTCCGTCGCGGCGCCCTAGGGAGTCGCGCGCGGCCCCCGCCCGTCCGTCGCGGCGCCCTGGGGAGCCGCGCGCGCCCCCCGCCCGTCTGTCGCGGCGCCCTGGGGAACCGCGCGCGCCTCCCCGCCCGTCCGTTTTGGCGCCCTGGGGGCCGCGCGCCGTCCCCCACGCTGCTGCCCGTGCTCCCGCCCCGTTCTGCCCGTTTTAGGGTTTGGGGGTGGCGAGTGTGGGGGTGGCGGGCATGGGGGTGAGCGGTGTGGGTGCTACCCGTCCCCTGCTCCTCCTCCTCCTCCGTCTCCCACGGCTGCAGCTGCCGCTGAGGGGGGTGGGTGTGTGGGAGCTGAGGGAGTGGTGCTAGGGGGGTGACGTGGGAGTGGAGCTAGTGGTGCAGCAAGGGGTGTGTGAAAGGGGGTGGGACAGTTGGGGGAAGTTGAGCGGAGGCAGTAGTCGTGTCGCCAGCAGCGCCAGTAGTCCGGAGGCTACAATCTCCGGTAGTCGCCAGTCGCCTGTGGGTCAGTTGCTCCTGTCAGGAGGCTACAATCTCCGCGGAGCCAGTTACTCCTGTAGTCCGGGCCATTGCTTCGGAGCCACTGAGCCAGCCACTCCTGTGTGTCGGCAGCTTCCACCGTCGCCTCCCATCTCCTCTCCTCTCACAGTCACTCCTCCTCCTCACTTGCCCTCTGCGACTGCCTCTAGCTTTACTTGTGCATGTGAACCTGCTCTATGACTGCTTGCTCTGCTGATTACACCCCACTTTGGCTATGGGGGGGTGTCAGAATGTTATAATTGTCTAGCCTGCAGTGGGGTACTCTATGGCGAGTACAACCCAATTAGGGTTTCCTATATGTATGCCAACTGCTACTAGTGCAAACCCTCCTTTGTTCATTTCCTCCTTCTGACTGCTACTTCTGATAGTAACGGTGCTGACTATGGTGCTACAGTGGTGTACGCGCTGAGCAGGGACGCGAAGTAAGGAAAATGAAATTTCCTTACACTACCCCCCCCCCCCTAAGGAGGCCCTCCTTACGAAAGCGCGTGTACATCCCAGAAATTCCGGCTGCGCAGATACTCTGTAAGGACGGGTTGGTTTTCGATTTTGTCCAGGGGAACCCAGTTGTCTTCGATGGGTGTACGGTCTCTCCAGCGGATCAGGAATTCGATCCGTCGAGCTCCTCGTGGGTCACGAACTCTGTGGCTCAGAATTTTCTCGGGTGTGATGATTGGCTCGGTCGGCGGTCGTGTCATGCTGGCTGGGCGATTGCGTGGCAGTTGACTTGTGGATGGTACGTAGGGGCGAAGCAGGCTGACGTGGAAAGATGGGCTGACGTACCAGTCAGCGGGGAGGAGGAGGTGGGCGGTGACAGGTGTAATCATGTGGCTGATGCGGAATGGCCCACAGTATCGAGGGCGAAGTTTTGGGGTAATGGGCAGGCGGAGGTTCTGGGTGTCAAGTAAAACGAGGTCGTCGGGCTGATAAATGATAGGTCGGCGGTGGCGGTCGGCGTTGCGTTTAGCAATGATGTTTGATTTTTTAATTGCGTCTGCTGCCCGGGTCCGTGCTGCTTGTAAAATTTCGGCGAACTGTTGTGCTCGTAGCACCGAGTTGTGGGGATTCGGGGTCATGGGTACTGTCGGGTCTTGTCCGTAGTTCAGGTAAAATGGTGACTGTTGGGTCGTGGCGGAAGGTGAGTTGTTGTACGCGAACTCGATGAGTGGCAGTTGCTATTCCCAGGTGGTTGGGTCATCGGACGTGGCTCGGATGAGTTGTTCCATGGTCTGATTTGTCCTTTCTGTCTGTCCGTCGGTCTCGGGGTGGTACGAAGAGCTCAACTGTAGTCGCGTGCCGAACTGCTGCCACAGGTTCCGCCAGAAGTTGCTGGTGAATTTCGTGTCTCGGTCGCTGATGATCGTGTCAAACATTATATATGTTATTGCTGTGTAGGCTACAGTGGGTTAGCCTTTAGGGGGTACAACACTCTAGGGTTTCATATTTGTATCACCCATGTTTCTAGTCAAACCACTTCTCATTCTTAACTTGGTATTAAGAGCTTAGGTTCTAGACCTAGGACTCACCTAAGGGCCCACCGTTAGAAGCGCCCTCGAGCGCCATATTCACCTAGCGCCCTCGAGCGCCTTCCTCCTAGAGCGCCCTCGTGCGCCTAGTCTTCTCCTGCTGCTCGTGCGCGGCTCGCTAGTGCGCGCGTCGACCCCTAGCAGCCCGCGCGCGGCCGTTTCTGCGTGCGCGCCGCCCGTTAGCCGCCCACGCTGCCACGCGCCGCCCGCTAGCAGCCCGACGACGGGCCCTCCTGGCCGCGCGTAGCCCACTAGCAGCCCGACGACGGGCCCTCCTGGCCGCGCGTAGCCCGGTAGCGACTGGCAGCCCCGCCCGTAGGCCGCGCCGTCGCCCTCTAGGCCGCCCGCGCGCTAGTCAGGCCCACGCACGGCCACGGCCCGCCCGCTACAGCCGCCCGTGTGCATGCCCCCCGTCGTGCACCGCCGCGTAGCCCAGCCCGAGCCGAACCGCGTTGCCCGAACCGAGCCGCGCTGCCCGAACCGAGCCGCGCCGCCCGAACCGAGCCGCGCCGCCCAGGCCGAGCCGCGCCGCCCTACTGTTCCTGCCGTGCTACTGCTTCAGCTGTTACTGTTACTGCTACTGCTACTACTGCTACTGTTCCTACTGCTGCTACTGCCACTATGGCTACTCCCTCTGTTCTCACCTTTGACGCTGAGGGCCGCCCGATTAAGTTTGAGGTTTGGTTAGATGACCTCCACCTGTTCCTCCAGATCACTGCCAAGGACGATGTCTCCCTTTATGACCACACGTCAGGCGCCGCTCCCGCACCTGCCTCTACTGCTGACAGTACTGCTCGCTCCCAGTGGCAGACACGTGATGCTCACGCTCGCCTAGCCGTTCGCAGCCACCTGCCGTTAGATGAGCGCGAGCACTTCGGCCAGCATAAGACCGCTGTACGACGCCGTAGTCGCGCGCTACTCCTCCCCTGCCACTGCTGCTATAGGCCGTCTCTCACTGCCCTACCTCTTCCCCGACCTGTCTGCCTTTGCCACTGTAGCTGACCTCATCACCCACCTCCGTACCAGTGACCACCGCTACCGTGCCGCGCTCCCCCCCGATTTCCTCGCCAAGAACCCCCCCCCCGATGTACCTCACACTGTACCATCTTGTCACCCGCCTCCCTGACTCCCTTCGCACTGTCAGGGACCAGTTTCTCGCCCTCTCCCCCACTGACCTCACTGTCGACCTCCTCGAGAAGGAACTCCTAGCAGCTGAGAAGAGCATTGTCGCTGTAGGTGCCTCTCGTGGCGAACCCCGCTCTCCCTTCTTCGAGGGGTGCTCCCCTGTCCCCCTCCTCCCCTCCATTGCCTCTGCTACTGCTGTCGACTACCTCGGTGCTGAGGGGATCGGGGCTGCGTCTGCTCCTAGTGGGAGGCGCAAGGGCGGCCGGGGCAAGGGGGGCAGGGGTGGCGGAGGTGGAGGCGGGGGCGGTGGCGGTGGAGGGGGTGGGGGGGGCGGGGGTGGTGGCGGAGGTGGGAGTGGTGCGGGTGGTGGGGGAGCCGGTGGCGGTGTAGGGGGGGGTGGCGGCGGAGGTGGTGGGGGTGGTGGGGGTGGTGGTGGCAGTGGTGGCGGCGGCGGAGCTGGTGGCGGGCGCGGTGGAGCGGCGCAGCGTGGGGGGTTCGGCGGCGGCCACAGGCAGCAGCAGTCGCCCCAGTAGCTCCGTGAGTGGTACGCTCAGCGTGGGGGGTCTGGGGGTGGAGTTACCTGCTCGTACGTCATCCGCACAGGTGACCGCACTGGCCAGACCTGTGGGAGGTTCCACACGGCGCAGCGCTGTTTCTTTCGCCTTGACGACGCCTGGCGCGAGCAGTTTCCTGACGCCTCTGAGCTGCCCCGCTGGGCTGATCTGCTTAAGAAGGGAATTGATATCTTTGCTCTTGATTATGAT